CATAAACGCAGCCTTCACGCGGATTAAAACCTCACGATCCGGCCCAAAAACAAAGCGTCGTCAACGTAGATCACCGCAATGACCATGTTGGTAGTACGATGCTTGAACTTGTAGACACCAGCATCAGACTGGATTTGTTCGAAGCCTAGCTCTTTTAGGGATTTCCGAAGAGCCTGCCACCATTGGCGACCAGCTTGCTTCAACCCGTATAGAGCCTTGTGCAAGCGCCAAACCTTGCGCAAGTTGTTGGATTTGTGAAAACCCTTCGGCACCTCCATATAGATCTCCTCATCCAGATCGCCATAGAGATAGGCGTTCCGCACATCGAGGCCAGAGACGTACCAGCCTTTGAGCGCTGCGAGTGCCAGTATGGTGCGAACGGTTTCGAAGCGCACTACTGGGGAGAAGACTTCGGAGAAGTCGATGCCTTCGCGCTGGGAAAAACCCTTAGCGACCAGGCGTGCCTTTCGGCGGCCATCTGTTTTTATGTTGAATACCCATCGACACCTAATCACCCTACGACCGGGCGGTAGGTCAACTTCCGTGAAGACACCCCGTCGGACGAGAGCTTCAATCTCATCACGACAAGCCTGCATCCAGGCTTCCGACTCCTCGGCGGGTAATGTAATTATGTCTTCATACTTCCATTCCCTCACGTTTGCGAGGTCTGGTCCAAGATTTGCGGATGCTGCGTACGCGTGTAAGAGCATACGATCCACAAACTTTGCTGCTGCTTCCTTCGCCGAAGCGATATGCGCCGCTGCGTTTCGCAATAACGCGTGCGGAAGGGGTTCTAACTCCCTTGATGCGAGGGCCATGAGTGAGGTGGGGCCATCGTCGTGGTCAATAGGCGTCGGGTTTCTATGCCTCTGCCAGAGGTTTTTGAAACGTTCCTGCATGCTTTCGACCTGATCTATGGTGAGATCTGGGTCGATAGGCGTCAAAGCGTCAGATTCTAGGCGTATGCCTGTCTTCTGCCATTTCGACGGAGGCATCTCGGCCTCAGCACCCGGCTGATGGTCGTGAATTCCCTCTACAGGATTTCCTCGTAACCGCTTATAGACCGTACCCTCTAATCGTTGGTTGATATTCCTCAATCTTTCTACCGGGGTGCGTCCCGGTATAGCGTTGTTGGGATCCTCGATCGCGTTCCTCGTACGCCCAGACCTCCGTAACTCGGTCGGCGCTGGTCCGGCAGGATAGACAATTCGAGGGTCAAGATCCACCCTTGGTTCGCGACGCGGTGAACGCGAATCGCGTTCCAACGGAGCTGGCTCTTCGTCAGGATCCGGCAGAAGATCTTGTTGTTCCCTTCGTGAGGGGTCATCTGCTGGTGGATTCTGGTACAGACCCTCATACTCGTCGTCGTCGAAATCGCCTTCACCGTATTCCGGTTCCAGCTCCTTCTCCAACTCCTCGTAATCATCCTCGTCAAAATCCTCGACCTTAGGCTGTTGCCTTTTGCGCTTTTCGTCTGGAGTGTCTGACCTTGGCGATGGAGGCGGGCTTGGGTTTCGCCGCCCGTCGGCAGGTCCACCGTTGCCACCTTGGTCAGGAAACATATCGGCAGGAGACAATGGTCGGTCGTCATCCGAACCAGAAGGATTGGAGTTGGTTTCTCTGATGGGAAACCTAGGTGGTAGTAGCTCATCCACCTCTGGTAAGCGCGTAAAGCGCTTGGTGTTCCGTTGCCAGAACATGGTACGCTTCGGAAATGTCTGCTCATCGAACGTTGCGTTAACAGCGACCGGTAGTTTCCATTCTCCGGTTAGAAACAGTCTCCCGTTTCCTGCCGGTGACTCCCCGACGTAGATACACGCCTGGGATCTTGGAACAAGCTTATTGGCTCGTTCCTCAGGAGTCAGGTACACGTATGCCAGACATCCGAAAACACGCAAGTAATCGACGCGGGGTTTTACACCCTCCACAATCTCATACGGCGTTTTCCAGCGCATACTCTGCGCCGCCTTCGGACGTTTCATGGGTGTTCTATTGTAGATGTGACATGCGTGCTCGATGGCGAAGTTCCATAGGAACGGCGGCAAATTGGCGTTATGCAGCATTGACATAGCTTTTTCGTCTAAGGTGCGAATGATCCGTTCCGCACGGCCGTTTGTTTCATGGTTGTACGGCGTTGATTGGAGGATGCGAATGCCACGCGATTCTAAACTTTTGGTAAAGGCTCGCGATTTGAACTCTCCCCCTGCATCGCTCATCCACATCCGAATCGTTTTGTGGTACTGATTCAGCAGCATGCTAAACCAGGTCTCTACGGCTTGCTGGACCTCGCTCTTCCGATTCAAGAGCATGACCCATGCATAGGACGTGCAGTCATCCATGAGGACAAGTGCGTATGATTTTTTATTCCACGACTCGACTGCGAACTCTTTGAGATCGGCATGGATTAATCCAAGGAACTCGTTACTGCGATGTTCGTTTGGTGGGAAC